GAACTTGGTTTTGGGAAATTGGAAATAGTAGCTTTCATCTTAATGCCCCTGTCTCCTATGTGCTTTATCTTTTTACAGCAGTTTTCCCATCCTCAGGACAAGTCTGCTTTTCATCTAGCAGGGATAGCACTAAGGTTAAATATTCAAGAAGCACATACTCTCGATTACTTCACCTCACCTTTACATAACGCCTCTTCTTGCATATGCACACAAGTAATAAATGTAAATGTGGAAAATAGGAGTTGCAACAATCTCTCTTGCATGTAAATAGCTGTGTTCTCCTGACAGGTACTGCACCAACTAAAGAGACTTGGAATTGTGTGGCAGGATGTCCTGCCAGTGAATATATATTGCAAGGCTATGGGGACTTTACTCAGTACTGCAATTTCTGAGATCATTGGCAGAATCACCGCCCTGGAGGTAAGGGCCGTTACGTGCCTCACCAGACTTGAGGTGCAGTTCTTGTCCCAGATTCTCACTTTACTAAGAAAATGATGTTGGAGTCTCATTTTCAGTCAACACAGATGGTATAAGAAATTGCTCTTGTTTTATGTCTAACTCATTATACTGTCATTCAGTTTTGTCTTAATTATGTTTTGCTGGAGACTTGCTAATCTCTATATCTTTTATACTTGTATAAGAAAGTAGGATTATATTGCTTCTCCGTCTAGCCTCTGTACAAATTATGATTGAGGAGGTTGTAAACTGAATAGTCCCAAGATGTATTATAAAGTATGAAGTCATATATGTATTTAATTTGCAAGTGAACTAAATAATTTAATATAGTAAAGTGAAATGCAGCCTTGTGCAAGTACTACTTTTCCAACACACTATTGCAGTTGGGATTATGTGTGTCATCCTACAAGAGAGTTGCCTGGACTCTGCCTGCTGATGCCTCTAAAGCATAGATTGGCTGAACTCTTATTTGTAATAACATGCCCTGCTTTGCAGCAAGCTGTGCCACATTCTACTGGAGAAATGGGCTCTTTCATGCAGGCAAACTAAATTACTGACAATCTGTTGAAACATATTTTGTGTCTTCCTAGCTTTAGGGGTATTGTCAGAGAGCTGATGAAATTTAATGTCTAGTAAGGTATGCTAAATTGGTTGGAAAACATCTTGCTGTAGCTGAACCCCTGGACAACATGCACCAAAGATCTGCCTTTCCTTACTACTAAGCTGGCCCAATTCCATTCTGTTGTGTTCCCTTTGTGCAAAATCAGGACATCTCTACTGAAGATGGTGATAGATTGTATTCCTTATGCAAAACAGTGATGGATGAAGGACCCCAGGTATTTGCACCTCTTTCTGAAGAAAGCAAGAACAAGAAATATCAAGAAGAGGTTCCAGTCTATGTGCCAAAATGGATGTCATTCAAAGAATTGATGATGATGTTACAAGCCAGCCTGCAAGAAATTGGAGATCGGTGGGTATAACCTTCTATAGAGGCATATATCTCTCCACAGCTACAAAGAGTATTAGTGTCATTGATAGCATTGCTTTTTTCTGTTTCTTTCCTTCTTTTTTTTTTTTTAAGAGTGGCGTCTGAGCTAACAACTGTTGCCAATCTTTTTTTTCCTGCTTTTTCTCCCCCAAATCCCCCCAGTACATAGTTGTATATTTTTTAGTTGTGGGTCCTTCTAGTTATGGCTTGTGGGATGCCACCTCAGCATTGCCTGATGAGTGGTGCCATGTCTTCGCCCAGGATCTGAACCGACAACACCTGGCCGCCGAAGTGGAGCGTGTGAACTTAATCACTCGGCTACGGGGCCAGCCCCTTTTTTCTGTTTCTTAATGTGACTCAGGAGAGAGTTTCATATTCAGAAGTACTAGTTGGGACCTTTGTGTGGTCTGTCATTGTGTGGATCTCATTACCACTTTCTCATATTTGATAACATAAAGCTTCCTTGTTTCATATTATTTTGGTCTTAAACATATTGTTCTGGGATGCTGTACAAATGATCTTGCAACCTTGTGACACCTGGACGGAAATTGTTGCTCATTTTAACCAACAGTGGATGCATTTGAAGATTGGTTTTGATATGTTAACAGAGAAGTGACTTTTATCTGTATGGAATATTCAGCATCAAACCATTGTTTGATCAACCAGCAGTTTTTCTACAGGGAGCACAGTAGTTTTAGGGATTAAGCACAATATACACAGAAAGGATTCATCTTTTCTTAAGTGTAGTAGATGATGATGTCTCTCAGCACCATCGGTTAACACTGCTGTGCCTCATAATTGTATGCTGTATCACATTATACTGAGTGTGCAGAGGTCATTGATGCTGCCCCAAACAGAATGGATGTGGGTTGGTTATATATCTCTGGATGCTTTTATTATTGTCGTGGTAGATTAACAAGTTTGCACACTTTGCATTGGGAACTCCCTGAATAGGCCTTAAGGTCCATCTCCAGCCATCCTAGATGTGTCTGAGTTTCTCAGCAAATATTGTCCATTCTAAAATGATGTAAATGCGATGTCTACTTGAAAAAAAATTCACATCAAAATACCTCTAACTACATTAGTGCAAAATTTTATTTATTTATTTATTTACAAGTCCTTAGTGAGTAATAAGATATCTTTAGGTAAGACTCCAGAGGGCAGCAGCTAAGAATTTTTCTTTCTACTGTTAAAAGGGCCCTCTTGCAGCCTAAGAATGATCATTAATTTTCTATTATGAGAAAAATTACAATACTTGTATTTCTTTGCTTCCTTTTTCTTCATAGGAAGGTTTTTTCCCCCAGAGATTTCAATAAATATAATAACTAATTGAGAAAATTTTTTTTTACCAAAGGAAACTATCTCCAATCGTGTAGTTTAAACATTTTAAAATTATAAAATATATATATGAAGGAGCACAGTATATATAACATTTATTCACAGTTTAAAGAAAAAGAGTAAAATCAGTGTTCCTGTACCTATTACCCAACTTAAGAAAAATATTACCAGTACCTTTAAAGAAGCCTGTGTGACCCTCTCCAAATGCTCCCCACACAGGTAACCGCTATCTTGAATATTGCGTTACTTACTTCCTTGCCTTTCTTTAGTTTTACCACATATCCCTAAACAATGTAAAGTCTAGACTTGCCTGTTTTTGAACTTTCTGTCGGTAGCATCTTCTCGCTTGCTTCTTTTATTCGATATTATGATTTTGAAATTCATTCGTGGTGGTGTGTGCTTCTGCAGTTCATTCTCACTGCTGTATTCCATTATACAAATATTTATAGTTTATCTTGTTGTTTCACACTTTTACCAGTATTTTGTATTATCAGATTTAAAAATTTTTGATAACCCAGTTGGTGTGAAATTTGCATTTCCCTAAATTCTAATGATGTTGAGCATCTTTTTATTAATCATCCATTTTTCTTTTATTGTAAAATGCCTGTTCATATTTTTTGCCCTTTATTTTACTGTTATTTATGATTTCATTATTGATTCATGGGAATTCTCTGTGTACTTTTTGTGTGTATGCGAGGAAGATTGGCCCTGAGCTAACATCTGTTGCCAGCCTTCCTTTTTTTGCTTGAGGGAGATTGTCCCTGAACTAATATCTGTGTCAAATCTCCCTCTATTTTGTATGTGGGACATCTGCCACAGCATGGCTTGATGAGTGATGTATAGGTCTGCACCTGGGATCCGAACCCAAGAACCCTGGGCTGCTGAAGTGGAGTGTGTGAACTTAACCGCTGTGCCACTGGGCGGCTCCTCTATGTTTGTGATTTTTTTTTTTTTTTTGGGGAAGATTAGCCCTGAGCCAACTGCTACCAATCCTCCTCTTTTTTCTGAGGAAGACTGGCCCTGAGCTAACATCTGTGCCCATCTTCCTCTACTTTCTACGTAGGACGCCTACCACAGTATGGCGTGCCAAGCGGTGCCATGTCTGCACGCGAGATCCAACAGGTGAACCCTGGGCCGCTGGAGCGGAACCTGAACACTTAATCACTGCACCACCGGCTGGCCCCTCCTCTGTGTATTTTTTATACCAATTCTTTGTCAGTTAATATTTGTTGCCTGTGGTTCACTTTTTAAAGTAGTTTCAGATCCCAAGGCTCTATATGACTATATGAGAATGTTATAATTGTTAACTTTGAACAGGGCTTAGTGAATATAGAATAATGGAGAACTGTCTTATCTTCCTAACTTGGTCTCCTCATCTGTCTGTACTAATACCAAAATGCAGCCAGAGAGCAGAAGAGGTCAAAGAGATTGAGTGGTAGTAAAGAAGGGGAAGGATGCCAAGGTTTGTTTTATTTTCATTTAACATAAATAAGCATTTGGGATCAAATAAGCAATTTTAAAATCTTGATTATACTGCAGTGATGTAATAGGAAATAGAATTTTATCTTTTATTTTGCAGGTGGGCAGATGGAAAAGGGCCCTTGGCAGCTGCATTCTCTTCCAGTGAAGTAAAAGCTTTAATTCGTGCCTTGTTCCAGAACACAGAAAGAAGAGCAGCTGCCCTTGCTAAGATTAAATAGCTCTGTCTTCCTAAGAAAGCTGTCTTGACTATGTGGATTCCTCTCTTGGCATAATTACTCCTTTAAAGACTTTGGAATCACCCGTTGGTTTTGATGAACCAATATATCACAGAAGTTTGATTTCACCTAAGAATGCCTTCCCTCCTGGCCTGTTGAAGAACTGGATGATAAGATAAGATGTCAAGAGAAGCACCTCAATTTGTTCACTTTCTAGCCACTCTCCCTTGATAAGAAACTATAGGACAGCGTTATTTCCTGTTGCGTCCAGGGCCTTCTGGGAACTGTATTCATTGTGAGTGTAGGCCGTAGCCTTGGATCGAGGAATCCAGGAGATTCTAAGAGACAGTGAAGAATTTGTGAGCAAATGGGAGATATATTCCCCAAAATAGGGCAATCATATCTAGCTTTCCGGGAATTAAGGAGACTTGCTTTAATATTTCTTTCCAATAAATAATGCTTTTCAGAGTTTAAGGGTGAGTGTCTTTAATAACACAGGAACTTTGACGAAAGAGACCAAGTTTTCATACCTTCTGTGCCATTCTTTTTATTGACATTTATGATCCTCACAGAGGACTCGCTGACTTGTCCTCTTCTTTCTTCATAACACTGACAATTTCCCAGAATTCCTAGGACTTTCAGTATAAATTTTTAGCACTTTTTGCCATTTCAACTAAATTCTGTTTTCTTGGTCGGGGTTTTTTTTTTTTGCCTTCTCAAGCTCCACTGCTTCTGAGCCTATCAAATAACAAAGGTTTAAATTGCCACTGTTTTTTGGGCGAATGTTGTGCCATGAGATGCTAACTGTGGGCTCTGTAGCCTCATCCTTTATTTGGTGGACACAGGTAATCCTTCAGCTCAACTTTTTGTGTTTTAACTCTTTGCAGCTACTGGAGGTAGATATTATGTTAAGGTTATCCTGGACCTCGGTAGGACTCGGGCTTGTGTTTCTTCATACTGACGTATGGTTTCTTGTGAAAAGGGGGTAAAGGGTGTGCTCGTCATGTGCTTTGAGCCAGGTGCTGTCTGGGGGCCGTTTTCAGGACAGAGGGCACGCTTCCTTCGGCCTCGGCCGCTCCATCCCTGGCACACACAGAACAAAGTGTTTTTCCTTCTGCCTTCAAGTGTTCTGCCTTCACCGCCTCACTCTTAGTTCTGGCTCAGCCCCTCGTCATCCAGATGCTTAATTTTTCTTTTACCTGTTTAGGGGTCATAGAAGAATAAATAAGAAAGAAGAAGAATGGTTTTCTTTAAAGCTCAGCTGTGGTTCATGACAAGCTGTTTGTCTGTACTCAGCATGTCTTCCTATGAGAACTCACAGAAAAAATAATTGCCTGAACCAACTAGTTTTTTAGGAACAAAGGAGCTGTCTTTCTTGAGAGAAGAGGAAGGAGGCATTCACAGGTGAAGAAGATACCTGTTTTTGAAAATTCACACAATTTCGGGTAGCATTCTTTTCTCCGCAGTTGAGAGAATGGAGAACTAAGGACAGAACTGAAATAAGGGCATCACAGGAGTATTACACAGAGCATCAGATCTTTTGTTCATGGAAGCTATTCCTGTTGCTTGACAGGTACAGCAATTTGGGGGTGGGATCTCTTGTGACTGAAAAGCATGTTCCTCACTCCTTCCCTCCCTTCAGAAGCACAGAGAACTGCAGTACAGTTTTTCTGAGGCTGTGTAGACTCCATTCCTTGGGACTATTTCCCCTAATGAATAGTTTGAATACCATGGCACACACAGCAGGCAGACTCCATCCTCTTCCCTAGCCAAGGCAATTGATGGCTAATGATCAAGTGGGTGTTCACTCTGGTAGGGATGAGCCATCTGATTGAGCATGTGGGAGTTGGGTCTGGCAGCTCTTATAGGGACCTTGAGGGTACCTTTTTTTTTTTTTTTTTGGGTGAGGAAGATTGGTCCTGAGCCAACATCTGTTGCTAGTCCTCCTCTATTTGCTTGAGGAAGATTGTCCCTGATCTAACATTTGTGTCAGTTTACCTCTATTTTGTACGTGTGATGGCACCACAGCATGACTTGATGAGCAGTGTGTAGGTCTCTGTCTGGGATGTGAACCTGCAAAGCCTAGGCTGCTGAAGCAGAGTGTGCGAACTTAACCACTATGCCGCTGGGCCAGCCCGAGGGCACCTATTTTGATTGGGAACCTGACTTGGAATGGGAGTAGGACCTGCTTCCTTTAGAAAGAGTGTGTAGATTATGAGAGGAAGGGAACTTTAAGAGGCTTGACTCATTTAGTGGATCCCTGCGCCTACTAGAACACACGTCTTCCCAATTAACACCCAGAACTACACAAATGACTTCGAGAAATGAAATTCAAGAAAGGTTCCCCAAGATTTTAGTAAAAAGGAAAGTTTTTGTTAAAAGCCAAGACTTCAAACAACTTAAATCCATAGAGTGACTTGATAGTGGCTCCTGTTACTGTGTGGATCCTGCGTTGTGGTGACACATTCCATGGTCAGTTTTGCATGAGGATTTCTCTCTGAAATGGAGATCCTCCAGATGGCACTCTTTCCTCAGGCCTGGGAGCGTCACAAGGCATCTAGGCCTGGTCTGTGGAAATGAAAGCCAGGGAGCCTGTCCATTTTACCCTGGGCTTATATTCTGGCCCTTGTCAGCCCAGGAAGGTTATCCGGACGTTGAACAGCATCTATATTATAAGCTGCAACATGTCGCCCAACTATCACTTGTAGGTAGATCAGACCGTATTTCCTTCTATTAATAACACTGTTAAAGGAGATGTGGGAAATTTCCTTCCTATGCTTGCAAGTACATACTATCACTTAAGGCAATGATTCCCAGCCTTTTGTGGGGTTTCATTCTCTTGTTTATCTGATTTCCCAACATTTTGTCTATCTTCTGAAAGTTCTGAGTGGTATACATAGATACACACACACCCTAGGGTCTTTTTGTGATAAGAAAGCTGGCCCAAAGGAGTAGTTTGTCCAAGCCCCACGGCTGGTTTGTGCCGTGGCCAGCTGAAGGTATCCGGGAGGACCTTCTTAGCAGAGCGGGGGCACTGCAAAGGCAGGAAGGGCTGAGGCGATTGGAAGCTGCCTCACACAGTCTAGGCACAAAGTGGTCCTTTTAAATTGGGTTTTGATGCCCACATTCTTCCTAATCACAGAACTGACTTTGAACATTTGTTTTACGATAATAACTTCCTCCCTCCTAAAAATACACATTTCGCTAGAGCCTAAAATTTCCCAAAAGCTATAAAGCCCCAATTTTGGGAAGCATTTCAATTATCGTATGGTTTAGACAGAAATTCCTCACTTTGTCATGAGGAGTCTGGGTAGGAACTATGTGATGTCACATGACATGACTGGAGATAGCCTTAGATGTCTCAAACCCAAGTTATGAAATCTCTGCTGAGAGTCGGGGAGGAGGGCGATAATTCTGATGAGCTATGTATAAGTCTTCACTCCTCCTCAGAAGTCAGGTGCCCCAGATTTCTTGTGCAGTCAAGAGAGTGGGGTGGGAGTAGATGGGTCTTAACTGCTCCAGCTATTGAAGAAGACACGAGAACCAAGGCCAGAGACACCTACTCCCTCCCTTGTCTCAGCCTTTTAAGTAGTTCTGAAACCTTCCTACATTCATTCCACTTACATTTATAGGGTGCCAGGCATTGCTCTAGTCGCTGAAAAAAACTCCCCTAAAACAAAAGTCCCCTGTCCTTCTCGAGATTTAAATTCTGATGACAAAGACAGATAATAAACATAAAGTAAGTAAATTAGTATGTTTGCAGACTTGAAGTGCTATGGAAAAAATAAATGTAGGGTGATAACTGAACTCCCCTGGAGTTCCAGGATAAAGGAAAGTGGAGCGAGCTGCCGTTCTGAAGAGGGCGGTCAGAGCGCACCTCCTCGAGCAGGTGCATGAGCCACGTGGCCATCTGGGTGCAGACAGCTCAGCAGAGAGACCAGCCCGTGCAAAGCCCTGAGGTGGGAGGAGTGTGCCTGGTGAACTCAAGGCACAGCAGAGAGTGACAGAGAGAGCAGGGCTAAGGGGGTTAGAGAAGTAACTGGAGAGGAGGGGGATAGATTGTATAGGCCGTTACAAGGATTTGGGGTTTGTTTTAAACTCTGAGTCAAATGGGAAACCTTTGGTAGCTTTAAAAAAAAAAAAAAAAAAAAGGGAAACGTATAACAGTAGAGAAAATAGTATGGTGAACCCCTAGCATCACTCCTCTTCAACAATTATGGTCATACAGCCAATCTTGTTTCATCTGTACCCCGCCTCCCCTACCCCCTCCTTCTTGCTCCTGCAAACACACGCTGTTTGTTTGTTTTATCAGAAGATACACCCCACCTCTTTACGACTCGATTCTTTTGGGCTCCTTTCATGGAGAATCCCAGTAGATGAGGTGACCCAGCTCCAGCTGCTGGGTTCTGGGAATGGTGTTGGTTGGAGTCTGGGACTGGCTTGGTTTAAGTGAGAGGAACCCCCTTCCCTGAGGTCTGTCTGGGTGGAGTGGAGCAGCCGCTGGTGGCTTCTGTCTCCCGTTCCCATTCTCTGACTTTAGAATCGCTGCTTTAAAAGAATAATAATTGTTTTCATTTGCATGAAGGGCTCCATTTATGCTTGATTACCATGCAGTATGATAAAAATTATGTATAACATTAAATATGTCAGATTAACTTCATTATAAATTTCATTTAATTCCAATACTGAGCTCTTTTCCTATGTGCATAGTCTTAAGTACTTTGCCATATCACTATCTACATTATTATTACTTAGAACTAAAAAATGAGGACTTCTTGCTCCCCAACTATCTATGTAGTAATCTGTTCTAGGATCTTTTGTAAAATTAACTTCAATGGCATTGGTCTGACGTAACAGTAGACCTGTTGCCCCTTTTGAAAATCGGGACACTTACTCATCTCCAGGACTGTGTGACACGGTTTTGTGATTACATCTGCAGTTTCTCTTATTGTTAAGTCTCTTGGGATGGAATTCTAGAATTATATCTAGAGTCTAGAATTGTGAACTCATTTCAAACCCAGGTTTTCTTTTTCTATCTTTTCACTTATCTTTGGCTTCGTTTCCCTCTCAAATACGTTTGTTCTATCCTTTCCAGGTTGAAGAGGGAGTCTCCTTGATAGGGAATATGGAAGCAAAAGGGTATTTGAGTTGTTCAGCTTTCTGTCATTTTCTTAACATCCATCACCAACTCCAAGCATAGCCTAACTCTTTCTTGTTCCTTTTCTTTCAGGGACCATACCCCCTCCCGCCACCCCCCCAAAATCCCTTGAAATAGTGTGTTTCATAAACTTCAGCATATTCTGGGCTCTGATCTTCCTGACGCTATTTTTCCATGTTCAGGCTGTTTTTATATTGTTGCGTATGGAGGACCTATTTCTTGTTTTGGTTGTTGTTTTGTAGAACTCATTGCTGGTTTCCATTTGCAGTCACGCTCTTGTTTTTTACTGTATTATCATATTTTATTATATGGTCAGATTTTCAGTTTTTTTTTTTTTTTGCTGAGGAAGATTTGTACTAAGCTAGCATCTGTTGCCAATCTTCCTCTTTTTTTTTTTTTTTTAAATGTGAGCTGCTGCCACAGCATGGCCAATAACAGATGAGTGGTATGGTTCTGTGCCAGGGACCTGAACCCAGGTTGCCAAAGCAGAATGAGTCAAACTTTCACCATTAGGCTGTCTGGGCTGGCCCCAGATTTTCAGTTTTGAACACACCCCCTCACTTTCATTCATAGGATGATGTCTTTCTTTTACAGTAGATCATTTTACCATAGATCATTTCTGACATTTTCAGTACTCTTTAAAAAATACGCTTTCCTAAAGCCAGGGCCTGTGCCTAGGCCAAACCTTTTTTTTTCTGGCCTATTGTGAAATTTGCAATTGTTCTCAAACTGTTGTTTTGAAAAAAAAGTTCCCCACTTTTCTTCCTTGGCTTTCTGAAAAGCACTTATTAGCAAGGCAATTAAAAAGCACATTGGACATTCTGGTGTTTAGCAGAGTGGGACCTCTCATGGCGAGCTGAAATCCCCTACATGCCTGCGTCAATTTCCTGTTCAGTCTAGAGAGATACCAGCCACTTCCTCTATCTGGCCGGGTGGTGCTGTGGTACCTGCGTGTGGCAGTATTGTTTCTCATTCTTTTTCTGTTTCTTTTTACCCCAAGTGCCTGGTTGAATGTTTAACGTCGACTTTATCAACCTATGAGAATTTAACTTGGGGTCTCTGAGAACTCAATAGAATCTTAACTTACTGGTTTTTGTTTGTCTTTTACTAATTTCTGCCAGCAAAGCAGTCAGAGGGAAAGAATAGTTCAGTTAGAGGAGAAGCAGACCTATATGATAACTCATTTTTTTTTTTTATAAAGGCAAAGTCACGGTCTCATTAAGAAAGTAATATTACTGTCCCATGAAGCAAAGACGGTAAACACCTTTTTTGACTGGCACTGAAGTATATTTCCCCTGGAGTTTGCTTCAGAATAGAAGAAAGGGGCTCCTGAGAAGCCCATTGCCTCAGTTCTCTGTTCTTTTGTTTTGTCTTGTCTTGGGAAACCTTACTAGGAACTGTGGGTGAGTAGATGGGGATGAAACGATGAAGGAGCAGGAGGGATGTAGCTCTGATCCTTCGGATGATCCTTGCCATGACGGGCTGGTCTGCCCGGACCTGGGTCAGAGGAGAGGTGGAGGAAGGATGGATGGAGGGGTGAAGTGCCGGCGTGGGCTGTGGAGTTACACCGACCTGGATTCCCACTTTAGTACTTAACTCTGTGACCTTAGACGAGTCATTTGTTCTGTCAGGCTCAGAATCTTCATTTGTAAAATGGGGATAATAATATGGCTGACCTCACGGAGTTGCTGGGAAGATAAAATGAGGTTACCTACGTAAAGCACACGGCACAGGGCCTGACAGAGTGGTGGTCGTGGACGCGTTAACTCCAGCGCTCGGCACTCCGGGCTCGAGGCGCACAGTTTAGAGTGGGGTTATGTCGGTAGCTCTCCAACTAAATTGCAACTCTTGGAGGGCAGGGGTGGCGTCTGAAGCTTTTCTTGGTGTGGAGCTGGGCAGAGCAAGCTTAATAAATCCTCACGGATGGATTTGAGGGCAGCCTCTCGCACTGTGTGGCAACGCGGCTCAAATAAAGAGAAAAGGGGGCACCTTTGTGGTGTGAGCCCGAGTGTCCTTGTAAGTAACCCACGAGACCTCTGACATGGGAGGGATTCGATTTTGGGTCTCAGAAGAGCTTCTTCCCTTGGCTGTGTGTGGATGTTTGTGTTTATGTAAATATATAAAAGCCCGTTTGTGTAGGATTTATACCACCTAAAGGCACAAATTACCTTCAGTTCTTGTTATGAGGACTCTTCAGCGCCCACTGAAGCCCTCACAGTGTCCCGGCAACGCTGCCAACTTCCGCGAGGCTCCTGAACGGTGCGCTTCAGACCTCCCGGTGCACTTGGAGTTGAGCGTACTTGATTTACATTCTAATTCTTCGAAAACCTTCAGCTTTGATAGGATAACTTTTAAACAGAACAGGCAGCTAACCAAAACAGCCAACTTCCCAACAATTCTGGACAAATAGGCCTTTATTACATAAGCTTATTATTATTATTGATACTGGAAGCAGTTTTCCATTTGGTTTTATATGATGGTTGTTATTTTTGGGTGGAGATGGGAGGGTTTAAGTAACAAGCATTTTTTTTTTTTTAAAACAGGTAACAAAAGCGGCAAATAAAAGGTGCAGTTTTTTCTCCCGTCTGTATGTCTGTCTCCAGGAGTGAGCACGGGAGGGAGCTGGTGAGAGGCAGGCCCTGAGAGCTGCTGAATGCACTCTCCTCTCCTGGCCCAAGTCTGGCCTGAGAAATGAAGGAGAGCGACTTCTCAGCATAAAGCTGGAGTCTGCAGTCAGAGAGACAGAGAGCGAGTCTGCGATAAACTCCATGGGGCAGAAAGGACTGAGAAAGGAAGCTGTCATCATGATGTTCCCAGGATCCTGTAGAGGGGACGTAATATCAGGCTAACGTGCACTTAGTGGTCATTTTACAAAAGTGACTCGTGCTCATTGTCATCAGTGTTTGGTAGGTGGTTCAGAATTTCCATTGGTGACTCTGCCTCGTTGCTGAGGGACCGTGTGTGATCTGGATCTGTATAACCCAAAGACTACGTTTTCATGTTTAATCCTAAGAACATTCCTTTGAGGAAGATAGTATTGTCCCTATTTTACAGATGAGGAATCAAGGCACAGAGAGGTTAAGCGTCTTGCCCAAGGACACACAGTGGGCAATACAAAGTCAGCGTCCCAACCCGGGTTTGTTTGATGCTAGAGTGGGTGCTCTTTTCATTATTTTCATGAAAATTCCTTCTCCGCCACGGGTCTCTCTGCCTCTCACAGTCTCCAGATGCATTAGCTGACCAGGATGGCTGTAACAAAGCACCAGAAACTGGGTGGCTTACACAACAGAAACAGATCGTGTCACAGTTCCGGAGCCTAGAACTCCAAAGCCAAAGTGTTGGCAGGATTGGTACCTTACGGGGGCTGTGAGGGAGGGTCTGCTCCAGGACACTCTCCTTGGCTTATAGGTCTTCTCTCTGTGTCTCCTCCTATCATCTTCCCTCCGCGTGAGTCTCTCTGTCTCAATTTACCCTTTTTCAAGGACACCAGCCATATTGGATTGGGGCTCATCCTAATGACCTTCTTTTAACTTGATCACCTCTGGAAAGACCCCATCTCCAAATGACGTCACCTTCTGAGATACTGGAGTTAGGACGTCAATGTATTAATTGCGGGGAGGGGGCACAATTCAGACCATCGAACCAGACAGATCTCCTCTGGGTCACACACTCTAGCAGCTGTGTTTCAAACACTTGGTTTAGTGGCAAGACTTTTTTTTCCTATTGCCCCTTAACGTCTTTGTCCCTTTTATTTAATCTGTTGACTAACAGCCGTGAACATCGTCACTTTCCAAGTGGGCCTGCTCGCTGGAGTGAGTCTCCGGTCAACAGAGCATTCACTGGGCTCTGCTTTAATTAGCCAGGTGCCCAGGACAGCTGCTTCGGAACGCAGGTTCACAGACCAGCAGAGAGCAGAGGCGAGGCTGGCAGGGCTTACTGCGGATCCCGGGTGTCACTGAAGGAGCCCGGGCCCTGGGAACTTCGCTTCTGTTCTGGGAGGAAAAGAGAGGGAAGCTTAAGTGGGATTTGGGATTTTCTACCCTGGCTGTGTCTTCTAAAATTAGATGGGAACCAGAGGAAAAGTCAAGGCCCTGCAGTTTCATTCCCCTCTTTCCTCGTCTTGCCACCTATCAAGTCAGCTCTCTCCTTGGGTTCGTTGGCTGCTTCCGCCCCACGATCCAAACTGTAGTGGTTCCTCAAACCACTTCCTGTCTCCCCACTCCAGACCCGGTCCCAGCCCTGCCTCTCACTCCAAGGGGCCCCAACCTGCTAAGTCTCCTGCCTGTCCTCCCAGGTCTGTGGGAGGCAGCCCTGGACAGCGGGGAGCTCTGGATTTAAGGTTAGAAGGCCTGGATTTTCTTTTAGCCCCCGTCCCCTGGCCCAGCAGTGTGAACTTGGGCAAACCATCTAGCCCCTCTGCTCTCAGTGTGCTCACTAATCAAATGGAGATAGAAATGCCCGCCTTGCTCTCCTCCCAGGATGGTCGTGAAGACAGAACGCACTTCAAAGGAGCTGCCCTGGCATAAGCGGTTATGAAAATGAAGAAAACTCTGATTTTGCTTCTGTGGTATTTACCGTATGACATGTTGCTGGGGTCATTTTGTGGTCTCTGCGTTCGTGTGTGTGTCTGAGTTGGGCTGTGAATTCCGAGAGAGCTGAGGTCAGGCAGTGATGGGCTTCAGATGATTGATGAAAGCCGGTCTTGGAGAAGAGGGGAAAGACCAGTAGGTGACAAAGTGGGTATCAAAGAAGGTTGCAACGGAGAGAGTGACTTGTTTTCTCTGAGTCACGAAGGGTTTAGTCATGTCAGTCGTTAAACATTGACTTAAAGTGTTAGACAGCTATTGCTGACCTAGAGCAGATGTTTCGAAAGCTATTTTTAATCAACCACATGATGGATATTTTTTACTACTCCTTTGTGTCTTAATTAAAACAGATGAAAAACACCCTTTGTGTCCGATAGTGACACCACTGACTCACCATGTGGGGAATTCCTCTCATAGTCCATGTTTGTCTGAGTAATTTCATTATCTTACATCTTCAGATTTAAATTTGAATGACTCCCAAAGTAAATGACTTTCAAGCAAATTAAAAAAAAAGTAGTTGCTTAACAAAATGAGTAATTTGGGGCGCACTTTTGTTTATAGTTGGTAAATTATAAACTTCATATTTTATGTCTGAGCTTGAGAAATAGTCCAGAAACAATGGATGGTTCTCTGTAGGCTTAGAAATAATTTCCTAGAATACAACTTGGGTCATTTTTG